ATTAAATTTTACACCATATATTGTATTTACACCATTGTCATAGTTAAACTATATAATCAATCAAGATCAATTAGCGTCTATCCAATTCTAAATTTTCATACAAGAAACATAGCATTCTTAAGTGTTTCACTATGTGACATAAATTTCCAATCTCTATTTACTCTTCATTAAACCAAATTTTCACAAAACATTATAATAGATATGCTTTATTAGATTCAAGGTAGTATAAGTATTATAAAATTTATAAATACGTACCAATATGTGTATACAAAACAACATGAAAGAATTTCCCTGCAATTGAGTTCAGTCAAAGAATGTGATGTCTTCATGTGAGAGATCCTCCAATTAACTCAAATGTGAAAGCAAAATTAAAGAGTTCCTTAAAAAACTCCAAACACCTCTAGCCTTAGAAAGCCTCGTCCCATTCTTAAAATACTTGATAGATTTTCTATAAATTTTTGCATCGCATGCTATTCACTCTCTCAATTCCTCACCATACGCTACTGCAGAATATAAGGAATAAATCACCTGTTGAATGATTGGGACAAGGGTATTTATAGCACCCTCACCCTAAATCAATTAACCAAGGGTGGGCCGTCCACCATCAGTTTTAATATGTTTGTGTGTGTGTGTATTAATTATTTTAACTTTCTTCTTTCTTTTTTTCTTTTTAACTTTTTTTCTACTTCTTAATACTATTTTAAATTTTATTTTTTTCCTCTTGATTTACTTGTCTTTTATCTTTTCTTTCTTTATCATGTTTTCCCTTATTTTATTTTCACATTATATACATATTATATATATATATATATATATATATTAGATTTTGTTATATTTTCTCTCCATGTTATTTTTAATGCTTTAAATCCTCTAGTATAATTTATTTACTATTAACCAAGGTTCTTTAAAAAAAATAAAAGAAATTAAATCTTAATTGTATTTGGTTTCATTATAATTTAAATAAACATAATTTCTTGAATAAAAAAAAGTTAAGATCCTCTTTATTAAATCTAACTAACCTTATTAATTTATCCTTCCTCGAGAATATGTCTTGAAATGAAATCCTTAAATTTTATTTCATTTTATGTAAATCTTCCTTACTCAAGTAATCAGGTGATAAATTCAAATTACCATGGCATAATTTCTTCCTAATATTAATAAATTTCTAAAAACTAAGATATTATGAATTTCCCTAAATCTTAAACTATCTTAAATGCAATCTTATCTTACCTTTAAGTCTAGAAAATAATTCTAAAGGACTTCCCAAAGAGAGAAGATGTTACAGGCTGCCCATCTGTCGCAAGCATCTAATTTGGAGGAACCTAAGTCTCTTCATAGGGAAGCAAAGGCTAGTTTAGACAAAGCTATTGAGACTTGAAAGGCCTCCCCCCATTTTTTTTCATTTGTAAATTTTCTTTTCACTTATGTACGTATGCAAATTTTTGGATCAATTTATATAAGTCTCTTTATTGCATTTTGTTGAATTCCTATCCTAAGGCTGCCCTAGTCCTTAGGTCTATACTGCTTTATTCCGATGATGAATAATATTTCTTTAAGTATTTTTCATTTATGGTTCATGCATTTGTTGAGACTGGATAACTAATATATGTTACCTTTAAGTATTTGAGATATTTTGAAAGGTCCCTCCTAGTTAGATGAAAATTTACCAATTGCCTAGTCTTTAGTTTCAAGTGATAAGATAAGCTTCCACACAAGCTCACCTAGCTGAAATTGTTTCTTTTTTATTCTTTTATTGTAAATTCTAGAAACTTCTTTCTTTTGGACAATTATGTCATTTAATGCTTGTAAGCGTATCTCATTTAATTAAATCAACTCGTTTAGAATTGCTTTATTGTATCCTTCAGTGCTTATTCCTAAACTCTTGGAAATTCATAGTGAAGGAATAGCCATTTCTAAAGGCAACATGGCCTTCTGCTTGTAAGTTAATATATACGGGCTCATGCTAGTAGCCTCCCTTTTCAAAGTTCTATATGCTCTCCTAAACTCTTAGAAATTCGTAGTGAAGGAATAGCCATTTCTAAAAGCAACATGGCCTTCTGCTTGTATGTTAATATATACGGGCCCATGCTAGTAGCCTCCCTTTTTGAAGTTTCATTTGCTCATAATGCTTTTAGAAGTAGCTCATGCCATTCCCTAGAGTTTTCTTCTATCATCTTGTTTAAAAGCCCTAAATTATTTTATTAGAAGCTTTAGCTTGTCCATTTGCCTAAGGATAATGTGAGCTAGATGTTAGTAATTTAATACCTCTTTCCTTGACAAAGGCCCTAAAGGTACTCCTAGTAAACATGGTTCCTTGATTTTTGTCATGATTGTTTAAGGAATCCTATATTGGAAAATGATCTTCCCACATATGAAGTTAATCATATAATCTTACTTGACCTTTTTCATAGAGGTCACCGTTACCTATTTTGTAAAATAATCTGTGGCTACTAAGATAAACGAGTAACCTTTAGAAGATATAATTGGCTTGCCCCATAAACCTTCATGGCTCTTTTTTTGACTTTGGGCACCTTTGCCTTTAAGATAACCCATGCCTTATTTTGGTCTACTTCAACCCTATGCTTGTGGACCAGGAACCCAAGAAAATTGCCTGCAAGTACACCAAATGCACATTTCAATGGATTTAATTTAAGGCCTACCTTTCTCATATGAAGAAAACTTTTCCTCAAGTGATCGATATAATCTTTTGCCCTTTTTGATTTTACTATAATATCATCTATGTATATTTTTAGGTGTTTTCTTATCATATCATGAAAAATAACATTCATGGCCTGTTGATAGGAGGCCCTAGCATTATTAAGACGAAATGGCATGACTACCCATTCAAATGACCTAATAGAGTCCAAACACCTGAAAGCGATCTTATAAATGTCTTCCTTAGCCATAAAGATTTGATCATACCTTGAAAAATAGTCTATAAATGATAATAGACCTTAGCATCTATCAACCTATCTATAATAGGCATTGCATGCATATCTTTAAGTGTGATCGAGTTCTGGTTTTAGAAGTGTATGCAGACTCATAACTTCTTATTTTTCTAATACATGACTCCATAAAATGGATCTAGTAGCAAAAAAGCAAATTTTTGAAACATCATACTCTAAATTTCCTCTTCATTGAAAATGCTATGACCTTGACAATGAGTTACTATTTTCTTTTTGAATTTCCATATTTCAATCTATCATGCTAGCATTGAGTTTAAAAACCTTGAGTCAATTGAGGACCTGTTAAAATTAGAGATTTTCTCACTAAATTTGAAGGAAGCTCTACTTGAATGATTAGATTTCTAATTGCATGTAGTCTTGTTGAAATTGAAATGTTCATTAAACTCCTTGATGACTTGTTAAACTGGACACTCTTGAGCTAAATAAGATGAAACAGAGTGAAGATTCTCTCTAAGGTAATTAAATCATGCTTATGCAATTAGAATCCAGTTTATCAAGCCATATTTTGATATATTTGTTAAGCGAATGGATAAAGCTCTAAACCAAATAGCCTTGGAAAATGGATAGTCACAAAAAACATGGCTTAAGGTTTCAAGACAATCACAACCAAAAACATAGAATAGAAGTCAATAAATGGTGATTTTGAAGAATGTCACCAGTAGGGAATGCCTTATGGATTAGCTTCCAAATAAATAGAAGAGTTTTATATAGTACATTGAGTTTCCAAATAAAACTCCATATCTCTTCATTAGTATGTGGGCTAACCTTCATATCTTGAGTAATATAAGAGTAGCCCAAATGAATAGAATAAGAACATTTACTCCACATAATTCTGTCAGAGGTCTCAGGGAAAGAAATTGGAGTCTTTAAGATTGTTTTAGCAGAATTAACACCATACAAAGACTTAATTACGGGCATGTTCTATTTAGCTACTATCAAAGGGTTTGGACTTGGGATGATTAGATCAAAAACTATAGAGATTACCCGTTGCAATTAGTTAAGTTAGACATTTTTCACCACAACTCACAAGAGATAGAGATGGATTCTTCGTTTGCAAACTGCCAATGATTAGATCAAAAGAGCCACATTCATATTTTTAGCATTTCTCAAACCCAATCTTCCAACTTCAGTTGAGGTAAACAATAAATCCTTTTTAGGTAAACAATAAATCTTTTTTGGCAAGATGTAAGCGTTTTCTTTCCTTTGTCTAAGCCCCAAAAGGAAACCACTTGTTTGGCATCAATAATATTGTAAATGTGATGCGATAATCTTACACAAGAAAGAATTGACATAGTAGAAGTAGAAAGTACATATTTTATTAGAATGGGCCTAGAGACTTGAGAAAGTAATTTATTGTTTTAAGAGGAAATTCTACTATCAATAGAATTTAGAATGTGTTCATAAATTTTGGATTTATCTTTTTTTGCATCAGTTCAAGTACCAAGGTACTTACCGGAAGGATTTAGAAAGCTAGATTCCTAGTTCATTTGAAATTTTCCTGCTGCATCTAAGATGGAACATTTGGACTTAATAAAAGAAAAGATATCTATAGGTTAACTTGATGCCCATGCTACGAGCTATGTTCATGAATAGCTATGATCGTTATATTTATTGGGTGTAAATATTTATAAATCATAAAAATCAAATAAAAGTATTGAATTTATATATAAAAATAACCTACTAAAATTGACATGGCTGATATTTGTTATTGGTAAATCCTACATTATACTTATAAAAATATATATTAAAAAATATATGATCAAATTAAATTTATTTTATTTGTGAATACGGCTTCTTATAATTTTTTCCATGAATTTTTACTTCCTATCAATTGAAATTTTAGAATTTAGAAGTTTTTTTTTTCCTGAAGATTTTAGAGGCAGTAGAGCCATATGAATAACTGCCTCAGATCGTCTTTTTTTTTTTTTTTTTTGGGGTTAATATGGAACGTCTTCATAGAATCACATTTTTTTGAGTAAGCTACGTGGCTTGCTAGAAACCTCTAGCTTTAGAATTCGGCTCCCACTTCCATTATTTGACTCTGCTGCTGAGCTCAAGCGTCAGCAGAGCAGAGGAACTTCGCTTAATTCAGAAACATTATTTTGCACTTTGAACGCGTTCTCAGTCTCTCTTGTGGAACTATGGCGCGCCCGGCTCTCCAAGTAACGCCCGTTTCACAGATTGATTTCCCTTACTGCTCCTCATTTCAGCGATACGACATGACTGCTTCGTCAATCTGCATTAATCTCAAAGCCCATTTACCCAAATTAATTACTCAACGTCCACTTATGAAAATTAAACGCTTCAAATCAATTGGAATTGTCGGATTTTCTGGTTTGCATGGTCAAATAGAGCAGAAGACCATTCTCGCTCCTGAAATACCGCTGGACTTCAATGACGCAGAGCTCGAGGTTCAAACCCGGTAGTTGTTTTAACCAGGCTTCAATGAATTAACCCAAGTTTTTGCGTATCATGCTTTCTTTTTTTGGTTTGGAAGTAACTTTTGGCTTAGAAAACCAGGGCTTTTGCCTTTTTGTTGCCTCAAGGTAAGGTGTAGTTTATTTGTCAGATTAATTTACTTGAGTCTCGAAGAAGCATTCGAGGTGTTATTTCTCTTTTCCAGCTTCCATATTTCACTTCATTTTGTTTCATCATAGCTGTTTCAGCCATGTTGTTTAAAGTGTGGTATTTTTTGTCCCTTTTCTGTTTCTATTCAGAATTTTTTGCAGCACCTAATTATAACCCCCCCCCCCCAAAAAAAAAACCCCGCCCAAAAAAATAAAATAAAAAATTCTTTGTTGCTAGGCCAATGGAAAATAGGTGTGTGCTTCCTGCTTTAACATTATATTCGTTATGACATGTTAGCCCTTCCCTATTTTTATCCATTCCGCCGTCTTCCTTCTTTTGCGCCAGTCAGTGGAGTGAGCTTGATTACTTTGTTTTTCTCAATATACTCTTATGCTCCATTTTTGGGTTTCAAGCATTTGGAACTGGAGGGGTTACTCTGTTCGCTATCAGTATTCCGGAAACAATGGCCCCGCATTGGTTCTAGTGCATGGTTTTGGAGCAAACAGGTCCACATTGTTCATACTTTGCTTCTTATTAGCAGACAACTAAATGCCATTGGTATCAATGGAATAATTGCTTGAAAGAATTTCTATTTAGAAATGTTTGGTGCTCATGTTGGTTATGCTTTGAAATCAAATTAGGGTCTCGATTGGGATTGTTGATATCGAAGCTTCAGAAGAAAGCTAGTTAAATTCCTGTAAAAGTTGTTTATGAAGTTTATGGAAGTTAGAATTGTGAAACTATCAGTCAAACTATTCCACGCAATGAAAAGGTTCTATTCCACTTTTATTATTTTACTGCTCCATGTTATCAGATAGGAATAGTTATCTTTTTTTAGTTTCAATCTAAAATTAATTTTCCCAAAAACAAAGTTGACCATCTTTTGCTGGAAATTCGAAGTAGCTTCCTTTTTTACTTATTAATGGTAAGGTCTCAATGGTTTATTTGCTATGCGAAGTTTGTAACTAGGATAGGGAACCAAGTCAGTCAATGTGATAAATTGTTTAGAGATATGATAGTTTTTATCAATTTCTGCTAGATACAGTCGCACATGTTAAGTTAATAATACACTTTTTCTACGAATTAGTAAATAGTTGGCATAGTTCTGTAGTACAAGCATCCTTCCTTCGTACAGCTAAACATGCATATGATATGAATATGATAATACTCTCCGTGAGTATGTCCATGGGTGTAGCAATTACGCTCCAGCCAAATACCGCCAAGCTCCAGCAAAAGGAGCACAACACTAAAAGCTCCTTGCTGCCCTTTCTTTTTCCCATGACCTCTGTGAAGAATAGAGAAAAGGATTTGGCTTTCTGTCAAGTTAACTTGAGATTTTTTCTTCAATTAATGCATATATGCTTTGACATTTTAATGAGCTTATAATCATCGCTTGTCACATCACAAATTGCCTGTATGTAAGTTTTATTGTTTGATCTGTTTGGTTCCATTCTTATTTTGTTCCTTGGAGTGACTAAGAATACGCATCATTGCAGTGACCACTGGAGGAAAAATATTCCAGTTCTTGCAAAATCTCATCGGGTTTACTCTATTGATCTTATTGGTTATGGATATTCAGATAAACCAAATCCTCGTCAAATTAGAGATGACTCCTTTTATAGTTTTGAGACATGGGCTTCCCAATTAAATGAGTTTTGTGTTGACATTGTTAAGGATGACGCATTCTTCGTATGCAATTCCATCGGAGGTGAATTCTTTTGAAACTCTGGTTTATTTTTCAGGATGTTTCCCAGCAGGATTTGGCAGCTACTCTTTTTCGTTTGTTCTTTGTTTCAAATGTTCATTTTACTTCTCTGTTTGCACCTGTCACTTAAAATTTTATTAATTATCAATAGCTACAATTGATTTATCTTCTATACAGAACTTAAATAAAAAAGAATCCACTGATTAGTGTGACTATTACTATGTTATTCTGGATTCCAAACATTTAGTCAACTATGCTCTGTAATCTGCATTGAGCTCGCTGAATGTCATGTGAGTGTGGCTGCATGGATCTTCCCTTGAAAGCACAATATGCATGATTAATGAGACTTTGTATGGAGATTACTTTTGATTGATGTCCTCAAGTTTACAAGAGCATCCTTCAAGATCTCAATCCAGTCCAGCTAAATCAAGAAAAACAACTGAGGAGGAGTTTGATAGAATATTACTCAATATACTTTTGAAATAAGCATTTTGAAGGACTCATTACTGATGTCCTTACTAAGAATCTTTGTAGAATAACTTTTCCCTCTAATGTCTTCAAGCTGGGTGTGAGATTCTTTGCACCATTTTGAGGACAAGTCTTGTTGCTTACATGTGAAAGAAGAATATTGATTGATGACCTGTAAAACATAGAGTGATTATGAGTTGATTGACGAGATATTCTGATGTGCAGTCAATTGTATTGTCCTTCCTAAATTTATTTTACTTGAGATTTCAGTTTCTACGCTATTATCACAGAGTTGTTCCTTATTTTTCTGCAGGTGTGGTTGGTCTTCAAGCAGCAGTAATGGAGCCGCAAATCTGCAAGGGCATTATCCTTCTTAATATCTCTCTGCGCATGCTTCATATAAAGAAGCAGCCTTGGTATGGAAGACCTTTCATTAGAACATTCCAGAGATTGCTCAGGTACAAATGAAATGCAAGATTCTTTATGTTGACTTTCGGGTACAAATTTTCCTGGGAAATTTTACTATCACCTTCCTGACTTTACAGGGACACTGCTGTTGGCAAGTTGTTTTTCAATGCTGTTGCAACTAAAGAATCCGTTAGGAGCATTCTTTGCCAGGTACTCTGTCATTATTGAATGATTTACATCTGAATGCAGAGGCTATAGTAAATTGTCTCTACTGCAATCGTAATTGTTGCCTCCAATTCTTTTTTTTTCCCCTAGTGCTACCACGATACCTCGAAGGTGACAAATGAGCTTGTACAAATCATCCTTAATCCAGGGCTGCAACCTGGAGCAGCAGAAGTTTTTCTTGAGTTTATTTGTTATTCAGGTGGCCCTCTTCCTGAGGAATTACTACCCCAAGTGAAAGTAAGCCTCCTTTCCCCACAACGCATGCAAATTTAAAAAAAAAAAAAAATCTTAGACGTGTGTCATGAGGAATTAAACAAGTGAATATATGTTAGAAGGCTAAAATGAAATATTTTATTTGAACTTCTCTCTCCTTTTTCTCAGTGCCCAGTTTTGATAGCATGGGGTGACAAGGATCCGTGGGAACCAATTGAGATTGGAAGAAACTTTAAGTATTTTGATTCTGTGGAAGATTTCATTGTCCTTCCAAATGTTGGCCACTGCCCCCAGGTTCTTTCTCTCTTTGTGTTTCAAGAGTGTCATGCTTGTACTCTCTCTAGTCTCTACATACATGCCTGTGAGGAGTTCTGATTTTGCTTCTTTGTTGAACTCCTGATTTTTTTTTTTTTTCCTTTTCCTCCTCCATTGTTTCTTAAAAGGTGGTATGGTTCACCTTTATTTGACCTGCAAATCACACCCTTCAAAGTTTTTAGCTTTTACCATCATCTAACAGATTCAATGAACATTGAGGCATGTTAGAATGCAGACAGTTATTATATACATGCTATGGGTGAAAGAAGACTTTTTACTATCTGCTAGACGCATGTGCCCTACCTTCCAGTAATAATTGATGGAGATTTATTTATCTAGGAAAGCCTTCTCAATGCACCTAGGATTGTTGCGATATTTTGAATTTCCTAATTCTGTTTTATGAGCTTGGCATTTTTACTGTATGTTGAATTTATTTGCTTGGGATCAATTTATACCCCTAAATTCCATAATTATATTATTCTGTTAGTATAGATTTAAATTGTTCAAATCTTGAGCGATCCCTTACACTGTTTGGCTTAGGACTGGAAAGAGAATCCCTTTTCATTAAAATGATATATGCAATATCTATTATATTCCTATCATTATTATTATTACTACTTAACAGTAATTGTCCTTTCTCATTGCTTCTTGTATTTAGAGTACGAAAGACCCTTTTTGTCCACAAAATCCTTTTCTTTTCAATTCTATTTTTCTTTATAATCTATTCCATTTGTACCAAACAGCCTGTTAATTTTTGGATGTCATTTTAAGCCAAGGCCCTGGAAATTTCCCACTCTTCAATTTTCTTATTGTATAATGTCTCTCTTTCAATCTGATAGACTCTGTTTTGCTGGAAAAACCTATAAGAGGAGATTCAGAAAAATACAAGAAAAGGGAAAGCATCTTTCTAAGGGGCAGAACGTTGACCTTGCTCTCCTTACTCTTAAGGAGAAAGCTAGTCAAACCTAGTATTGACTCATAGTAGTTTTAGGTCTGCTTTAGCAGAACTTGGTGTGGGAGACTGTGCACTTTGCTTTTGGGTTATAGTAGCCGTTAGTTTCATTTGGGGGGGAGTAGTCATTACTTTTGGGTTTTGTTCAAGGGAGAGACTGGCTCTCAAAAACCAGAGGGCATGCTTAGATAGCATTGCATGTGTTTGGGTTCCATAGTAGTGTTGTGAGTTCCGGCTGTAACTTGGGAATAGGGTTTGTTTGAATCGCTGAAGTGTCTTTTGTAACATTGATTCAGCCTTTTGGGATTATTATTATCAAACCCCAGTATTTCTCCTGATTTGTTGGTCATTAATCTCTATTATCTCTGCATATTTATCTGTTTAGCAGTAGAGTTCCATCATTTGGTATCAAAGCAGGTCGATTTAAGGACCTGTGTGTGGAGAGAAATGGAGGAGAGGGTGCAATACGCTGACCCTGAGTTGCAAGAGTTGAAGGAGACAGTGGGGAGTCTAACTAGAGACGTGACTTCTCTTAGAGACATGATGAAGGATTTAGGCGGAACCTTGGGGCGATTATCAGACAAAAATAGGAAGGGAAGCGAGTCACTCTTACATGGGAGTGGGAAGAGCCACCAAGAAGAATCAGCAGAGACAAGTGCAGGAACGGATAGAGAACCTAGCAAGTATAGAAAGTTGGAGTTACCGGTATTCAATGGAGAAGACCCTTTGGGATGGTTCTTCAGAGTAGAGAGGTATTTCTAGGTTAACTCCATGGAAGAGAAAGAGAAGCTGGAGGCTGCAGTAGTATGCCTGGAAGGTAGAGCCCTGAACTGGTACCAATGGGTTGACACTAGAACACCCTTGCGAAGCTGGTCTGAATTCAAGATCGAGGCCTTGCACAGATTCCATCCTTCTCAGCTGGGAGATGAGTACGAGATGTTGTTGGCAGCGAAGCAAGAAGGCTCGGTCCTAGAATATGTAGAGGAGTTCGAACGTCTCTCTGCGCCCTTGAAGGATGCACCTGAAGCGTGTTTGGTCGCAACATTCAGAAGGGGATTAAGAACCGAGATTAGAGCAGAGTTGAAACTCACCAATGCTTTCACGTTACGCGAGGTGATGGAAATGGCCATTCGGGTTGAAGAGAGGAACCTGGAAGTCGAACGGGCCAGAGAAATTCGGGTACCCAGAATCCAGAAATTTTTAGGTGGGCCAACAACCGACTCAACCCAGACTTATTATACACGAGTTACGCACGTGGCGGATCCCTGGAAAAACACGGTGGTCCCTTCTACAGCAACAGATGCGACGCGGAAGACTGAAACGAAGAGTTACGAGTCAAAAACAGCAAGCTCTTCGACTGGGCATGCTTCGGCCAGAGGAGGAAACACTGTGCGAAGACTGTCAGAGGCCGAAATCACACGACGGAGGGAACTCGGACTCTGCTTTAAGTGTGGAGATAAGTTCGGACCAGGACACACCTGCAGAAACAAACAGCTACATGTGTTGATCATGGAAACCGAACCACCAAAACAGCCAGAAGATGACGAGCAGGGGGACGAACTTACAGGAATTAATGAAGAGGAGGATATGACAGCAACAAAAATGGAGCTGTCAATGAACTCCATTGCTGGTTTGGGGGGAAATGACACGATGAAGGTGAAAGGAGTGATGGAGAGTGAAGAAATTATAGTGTTGATTGACAGTGGAGCAACCCATAACTTCATATCAGAAGGTTTCATGACCAAGAAGCAGATGCCTTATGAAGAAATTCCTACGTATACGATCACAGTCGGGGATGGCTACAATCTTAAGAGGAACCAACGATGTAGGGACCTTAGTCTGAAGGTACAGGGGCTCAATATTATTCAAACATTCTACCCTTTTCCTCTAAGTGGAGTAGATGCTGTGCTAGGGGTTGAATGGCTCAAGTCCTTAGGAGATGTGAAGATGAATTGGGGACAGTTAACAATGGAAATAGGAAAGAGGGGTAACCGAGTATGCTTAAAAGGTGATCCTACCTTGGCTAAGACTCAAGTCTCCCTCAAATCATTAATTCAATTAGTGCAAAAAAGAGAGGAGGTTTTCATGATTGAATATAATGGTCTATCACAAGGGGGAGACATGCATGAGGCCCAGTCGGTGCTTCCAGAAATTCGATCACTACTCCATAAGTTTATTGCGGTCTGCCAACCAGTTGAGGGATTACCACCACCCCGTCCTCATGATCATGCGATTGTCATCAAGCCCGGGGAACAACCCCTAAATATACGGCCCTACAGGTATCCACATGCCCAAAAAAATGAGATTGAAAACATGGTCAAGGATATGCTTAAGGCTGGAATTATACAGCCAAGTCACAGCCTTTACTCAAGCCCGGTGCTGTTGGTTAAAAAGAAGGATGGGAGTTGGAGATTTTGCATGGATTACAGGGCTTTAAACAAGATCACAGTCCCGGATAAGTTTCCCATTCCAGCCATTGATGAGTTGCTTGATGAGCTTAAAGGAGCAACTGTTTTTACAAAGCTGGATCTCAAATCAGGATATCATCAAATTAGGATACAAACTGGAGATGAACCAAAGATAGCTTTTAGAACACATGAGGGGCACTATGAATTCAAGGTAATGCCTTTTGGACTTACCAATGCTCCCTCAACTTTTCAATCACTAATGAATGAGGTATTTCATGAATACTTATGCAAATTTGTGCTTGTATTTTTTGATGATATACTTGTTTATAGTAGTGATTTAACTACTCACCTCAAGCACTTGGAGGATGTCTTTTTTATTTTAAAAGGGAACCAACTGGTGATTAACTTGAAGAAGTGCATGTTTGCCCAACCGAAGATTGAATATCTTGGGCACATCATATCTCAAGAAGGGGTACAAGCTGATCCGGCTAAGATTGAGAGCATGATCAAATGGCCCAAACCTCAGAATGTGAAATCGTTGAGAGGTTTTTTAGGGCTGACCGGTTATTATAGAAGGTTTGTGAAAAATTATGGGAAGATAGCATGTCCACTCACTGATATGCTCAAAAAGGATGCATTCAAATGGACCAACGTGGCTGAAGAGGCATTTGAGAAGCTCAAAACAGCCATGACAACTGTTCCTGTGTTGACTTTACCCGATTTCTCTGTTCCTTTTGAACTCGAAACTGATGCTTCTGGGACGAGTGTGGGGGCAGTGTTGATGCAAGGGGGCAAGCCAATAGCTTATTATAGCCAAAAGCTATCTAACAGGGCTCAACAGTGTTCCATTTATGAAAGAGAGTTGATGGCGATTGTTATGGCGGTTAAGAAGTGGCTTCACTACCTATGGGGCCACAAATTTATCATCCGAACTGATCAAAAGGCGCTTAAATTCTTGTTGGAACAGAGAATTGTTGAGGAAAATCAACAACACTGGGTATCCAAATTAATGGGGTATAAATTTGAGATAGTGTACAAGCCGGGCAAGGAAAATAGGGCTGCTGATGCGCTCTCAAGACAAGAGGAGAACCTAGAAATAAATGGGTTTTCCTTATGGCAGTATGATGAAATTGAAGATTGGGAAAAAGAGGTGATGGCGGACCCTAAATTCAAGGCTGTGATGCAGCAACTTATCACAAAGCCCAACAGTGTCGAGGGGTATAGCATTAAAAAGGGGTGCTTACACTATAAGGAGAGGTTGGTCCTACCAAGAGGGTCTTGTAGAATTCCATTATTACTCAAAGAATTTCATGACTCACCGGTAGGAGGACATTCGGGCTACTTACGCACTTATAAAAGGCTGATTCAGGTGGTATATTGGGAGGGCATGAAGAAGGATATTCAGCAATATGTAGCTCAATGTGATACGTGTCAAAAAAATAAATATCAAGCCTTATCCCCAGCTGGGCTGTTACAACCTCTACCCATTCCTCAACAAGTATGGGAAGATATTAGCATGGATTTCATTACCGGGCTTCCTAGAGCCAAGAGGTACGATACAATCATGGTTGTGGTGGATCGTCTCACTAAATATGCTCATTTTCTCGCTCTTTCGCACCCGTTTACTGCCCAAGATGTTGCTGTCAAATTTGTGAATGAGATTGTCAAATTGCATGGTTTTCCAAAAACCATTGTGTCTGATAGAGATCGAATTTTTATCAGTCAATTTTGGCAAGAGATATTTAACCGGGCTGGAACTCAGTTACGCCTTAGTTCCGCTTATCACCCGGAAACAGACGGCCAAACTGAGGTACTGAATAGGGGGCTGGAAACTTATTTACGTTGCTTCACAACTGAAAAACCCACTTAATGGGTTCAATGGTTATCTTGGGCTGAATATTGGTACAACACCACATACCATAGTGCATCCAGAATGACACCTTTTAGGGCTGTATATGGACGAGATCCACCCGTTTTCTGCAAGCTCAGTGATGAACCTTCACCAATTGAGGCTGTTAATGACCAACTTCAAGCCCGCAATCACATAATTGCTGTTTTGAAGGAAAACCTGAACTTGGCTCAACAAAAAATGAAGGAGCAAGCTGATAAGCATAGGCGTGATGTACAGTTGGAGGTGGGTGACATGGTATATGTGCGAATTAGACCTTACAGGTTGAAGTCCTTGGCTAAAAGGATCAATGAAAAGCTCAGCCCACGCTTTTATGGCCCATTTAGAGTTATCAAGAGGGTTGGTCAGGTGGCCTACAAGCTGGAACTCCCTCCTACAGCTAGAATCCACCCTGTCTTTCACATTTCTCAACTTAAAAAATCAATTTCCTCTACTGTTGTGATCCCAACTATTCCGCCTGCTCTTTCTGCTGAATGGGAGTTGCAAGTTCAGCCTCAAGACATTTGTAAAGCTCGCAAACTCATGAACGGCCAGCTGGAAGTTTTAGTCAAGTGGAAAGATCTGCCAGACTTTGAGAATTCATGGGAGGATGCGGCTGCTTTTGCTAGGCAATTTCCACATTTTCCCCTTGAGGACAAGGTGAAGCTTTTAGGGGAGGGTAATGATAGACTCTGTTTTGCTGGAAAAACCTATAAGAGGAGATTCAAAAAAATACAAGAAAAGGGAAAGCATCTTTCTAAGGGGCAGAACGTTGACCTTGCTCTCCTTACTCTTAAGGAGAAAGCTAGTCAAACCTAGTATTGACTCATAGTGGTTTTAGGTCTGCTTTAGCAGAACTTGGTGTGGGAGACTGTGCACTTTGCTTTTGGGTTATAGTAGCCGTTAGTTTCATTTGGGGGGGAGTAGTCATTACTTTTGGGTTTTGTTCAAGGGAGAGACTGGCTCTCAAAAACCAGAGGGCATGCTTAGATAGCATTGCATGTGTTTGGGTTCCATAGTAGTGTTGTGAGTTCCGACTGTAACTTGGGAATAGGGTTTGTTTGAATCGCTGAAGTGTCTTTTGTAACATTGATTCAGCCTTTTGGGATTATTATTATCAAACCCCAGTATTTCTCCTGATTTGTTGGTCATTAATCTCTATTATCTCTGCATATTTATCTGTTTAGCAGTAGAGTTCCATCACAATCGGTTTTTCTGACTTTATTGTGTATTTGGTCATGATGTCATTGATTATTAAATGATGGCATGAAGGATGAAGCGCCTCATCTTGTGAACCCGCTTATCGAGTCATTTGTGGCAAAGCATGCTGAACCCTCAACAGTTAGTTGATTGGATTTTGCTGTGAGTTGGTTGATGCTGCTTAATGCACTGGAGGAGTGAATGTTTCTCAAATTGAAATTGCAGCTGTCGAGAATTAGTTTATTTATTATTTTTCTTGTATATATTGAAGCATTACACACTTATTTGCGTGGCATATCCATGGTAAACGTGAAAAATTTATCTCCATGCCAATGATTATAAAAATTACAAATTTTCACTGTTTTGAAATTTCAAAATATCAAAATGTCTTTTATTTCATACAAAGTCAATGATTCTAAGAAAAGAGAAAAACGAAATTAAAAAGTTAGGACATTACAAGAGATATTAGAGAATGTCTCATTAGAGACTTTTAGCCTTTAATATATGGATCCTTGGTGTCTTCTTATGGTTCCCTTTTGTAGTCATCAAAGAAGTTGATTGGGAGAGTTAGGGATATGGGTTCCTGCCAAGTGATGGGCGGTGTAGCTCCAACTAACACAAGGGTACTCAAGAGCTTTGGCTCATGTGGCACATAATGCGAGCCCAAGTGTCTTGGGAACTTTCCAACCCCCTGTGCCTCTCTTGAATTCACAAAGTGGGAGGAAAGAATAATTCATGTTTGCAAGCAAGGAGATGTTGAATGAAAATAGGGAATAAGTGAATTCCTGTTCTGGCTGTATAATAATATGAGAAGTATACTTTTGCCTTGCGAATAAGTGTTCCCGTGCGCTTCAGTGAGTGAGAGTGAGGCATCTTGATTAGGTTAGAGAGAGAGAGACAGAGAGAGAGATGAGCTGCTCAAGGGAATCCCCAGTTGCAGGCAAGTCACCATCATGCTGATTCTTTCTTTAGTATGTTATTGGTAATAATGCCCAAGAAATTAATTATAAAGTGTTTCGCCACATTTCTTGTCAAGGATTTCTCATCATTTGTTGCAATGATTACGCTGTAAATTCTTCTTCATGTAAAAAAGTCCTTGCTTTTCTCACAATCATAATGATGCCAATTATGACTCCAGGATATATATGAAGCGAACTATAAGCTAGCACGAAAATGATAGGCCACCAGTAGCCCAATGTCGTACTCAAAACTGGCCGATCATTGTGCACGTTACACTTTTGCAAGGGAAATTGAAGGGGGTTAATATTATTTCTAATGATTTGTATTTGTTTGTATATCTACAAGGTTGTCTGTTACAATTTTGCGATTAGGGGAATAATTCGCCGCTCATACACAATGCGAATTTATTATAAGACCTTTTATTACTAAGATAAAGAGATTCACTTTTTTGAAGAAAAAAATTCACACTGGCATAGATATTTATTAGATAAACAAATGAGATGAGGAAAAAAATTCTGCGGAAAGCACAGAATTAAAGGATGAGAGATAATGACAAACACTTGGGTAATGGAGCCGTATCAATATCGGGCCATGCACATCGATCATGTGCAGTTCCGTAGGTTTACTATTTCAAGAATGAACATGCTAAAATTAACCACTTCCCTCCCGTCAGGTCCATTCATCGTTGTATGCGAAAGCGATCATGAAATTATACATGCATGCATGCCGCCATACCTATAGAGAGTCAAGTGAAGTGTTGGCTTTGCAGGTCCGATTCTGGTGTGTAAGAAATTGAGAATAGTAGCATGATAAAAGCCAAAATAATAAGAGAGAAGGGGAGGCACGTGGAGGAGGGAAATTGAAAGAGAGAAAACAAGGATGTTGCCCCTTTCTGGAAATGAAATGTAACAGGATTACCAAATTAAACCAATGAGGACGAAGGCAAGTGAGAATCTGCTTTGACTCGCATTAGTAATTCCTTCAATATCACCCTCTGATTGAATATTATATAAGACGCGGCCGTTTTCCTTGTCAGTGATGGAGAGAGGGGTAGATTCGAGAGGGTGCGCGTCTTCCCCGGAAGCAAGTCTGGCAACAGAAAGATATTCAGCGATGCCCTCGATCTCACCACCCAACTGGTCGGTACTCTCTGCCATATATCTATATATAAATATAATCTTCTCCTTCCCCCCCTCCCTCTCTCTCTCTCTGTGCATATGAATTTATAATTGCTGTGGACACATGGATCTGGTGTATGGAGGAGGGAGTAGTGGATTAATGGGTGTGGTTTCCCGGACAGCGCATGAAGGAGGCTGTTCCGTGCTAGGGTAAGATTAACTGTCGCCGATCGATGACCTTAACCTTAATAAAGTCATTCCATTTCTAATTCATTCTTAGAACAGAATCATCCCAACAGCACCGGTTCCTGTTGAGGTATGAATTGAATGAGAATTATCTATATTTAAACGTGATGATATAATTAGAGAGAGAGATATATATATATATATATATATAAAAGAGAGGAATGAATTGGGGTGCGAGGCAGCAGATACGAGGGCAGAAGGTGGGACAAGTGTTGATGGTTTCAAGCATGCACGAAAGGAAGGTGGAGATGGCTGGTCGAGCCGATGCTTTCATTGCACTGCTCGTGGAAGAGATGTTGGACACCACTTGGGCTACCTCTTCAAGTACTTTTTTTATATGCAAACTGCATACTAAACACAATAGATGTCCTTAAAGTATTGTAAGTGGAATCACAACAAATTTAAGTTAAAAACTAGTTAATTAAAGTTGATTAAAATTTATAATTTAAGTGTAATTAAATTTAAAAAAAAATTATGAATGAGTCTCGTATAGTATACTTGTTTATAAATAAGTCTCGTAAAATAAAAAAATTATTGCCAAGTCTAATGGGACTTAGTTGTAATTTGTAGTTGGGGTACAAGGATAATACTACCCTTGTTAATTTTGCTTTTATTTACAATTGCAACTTCACAATTTACAAATAAAATTTCATCATTTACAAATCAAATTTCTTATTTAACACTTCATATAATATGGAGTCTATATGGAGTTAATTATATCTACTTAAGGCTATAATTGGTTTAATTGAGATGTAAAATTCATAATTTACCATGTAATTATAGCTTAAGAAAACATAAATAACTATATAAAGACTTTATATTATATCAAGTGTGAAATAAAAAATTTGCCTTGTAAATTATGAAATTTTACTTGTAAATTGTGAATTTGTGGTCATAAGTAAAAACCAAATTAACAGGGACAATATTATCTTTATACCCCAATCATAAATTACACTCAAGCCCTAAGGGACTTGGCTATAGTTTTGTAATTTCACCCAACTTATTTGTAAATAACTATACTGTACGGGACCTATTCATAATTTTTCCTATATACCTTGTTAGGTAATATGGTAGGAGCATGGGTAATAATGTCCTTTATGAACCTCATCAAGCAATAACTATAATCATTGCTTTGATTTGAATATAGTGGACACTATAAAAAAAATCACATATCGATGAAATATAATGGTATAACAGGACATGGCTTCTTGATTAAAAAGTTAGCTAATTAAACAAATACCTTAGCTATGACTCATTTCTCATAAGAATCCAATGTGCTCAAGCTGTAATATCCTAGAATTTCAATTAGAAGTATTAAACAAAGAAGGATTTAGTTAGAAGTAATTTGGAGTAAGATTTGTGGTTTAAGAGCAAACTAGAGGAAGAAGTAGGGCTTTTGTCCATAGTTATTTATGATTGTAACCTAAAAAGAGATCACTGTGGGTGGATGAATACTTATGGGAGAGGAGTATACTCTCTGTTTGCAACCGTCCACAATTGTGTCCTTCATAAGAGATGACTGGTCATGGTTGAGCACCCTTAAAAGAGGAGTATGTTCTCTAATTAGAATAGTCTATAATTGAGATTGACATTGAAGATAATCGATTGTAGTTGAAGACAGTGAGGAAAAATCTGGGGTAAGTAGCTTTGATTGTAGATGTATATGTTTTGCAATAGGGACAACCATCTATGGTTGAAATTGCAGAGTTGTGTTTTAAATAGCTAAAAAATGTAGAAAAATATAAGGAAGGGTTGGAGAAACATAAGAAGGGTGACAAGAGGCTTTATTCTCTACTAGGGCTTAAAGATTTTGAGGTTTCTTGAGTGGTTTGCATTTGATTTCACTAAAGTAAGCCTCCGTTAACCTCTCTTCTTTCTCTCTACACTATTTTTAAGTTAAAATTTGTGTGAAAAATGATTTTTTCAACCTTGAGAGCTTCGTGTCTAAACCCGTTGACTTAAATGAAGTTAATGAAAGTTATTTAAGCTATCTAAACTTAGTATTAGTAATTTTGTGAGTCCATGAGAGTGGTTTCTCATTAATGGATGAATTTATACCCTAAAGTACCATTAATGGTAGTGGTTGAGGCTGTTAAGCACCATTAATGGTGGTTAAAGAATTTAATGAAGTTAATTAAGCGTAATGGGAGCTAATAAATTAGGCTAAACTCAAGAGCTGGGAGTTTTTGGTTTTTAAAATGTTAAATATTAGAGCTAGAAGTGTGATCATGTTTATATTAATAACCATTGATATGATTAACTATAAATTAATCGTCTTATGCACTATTTGGGCTTGAGATTAGCCTTGAAAGCAAATTGTGTTTGAGGAAAAAACTTTTAATCTCTCAAAAGTTTGAGGTAATTGGGAGAAATCTAGTTTATGCATTTGTTTGTTAATTGATTGCAAAGTTTTTAAAATGTATTTTGAACTTGTGAAGTTAATTGTTTAATTGTTATGATATGGCGCATGTTTTGAAATGAGTAAGTACAAATGTGGTATTGAAGTTAATTGTGAATGTGACTTAGATTAAAGCATGATTTGATGAGGAAAATGCAAATAAGGAGCTTTAACATTAAAAATAGGCCATAATAATGTGAAGATCATATGTGTAATTATGTTATTTATAGAAATACAAGATATGTGATTGTGAGAATGATGAATGATATGGCTATGATTGCATAATATGGTTGTGATGGAAATAATTGAGGTATGATGTGAAAAGATTCCTTAAGCTTGATAATATAAAGGTTAACATGCCTTATGTGTAAGCATATTCATTGCATGATCATTTTTTGTGGGAGTTTGCTAAAGAAAATGAGTAGATATAAATCCACATGGTATGCTTGCCTTTCGGTAACCAAAGCAAGCCTTTATCTCATTGTTTGTTAAGAGATTGTCCTACTATTTATTAAGAAACTTGAACCTAGTTAGTCTCCACTTATTCATCAAGGAGACTAGCTTAAGGATAATGACACTCCAAGGATTCAAGAATGCAAAACACTATGGCCTAAGTGCGAGTATAGCGACCTTTAGCCAACTTACTC